TCAGTGATAATACCATTAGATGCAATACCAGTGCACATACTATAGATCTAAATACCCTTAATTTGTGGGGATACATTGAATTTGAAATCTCCTAACATCCCTATTTTTGGTAAACTATGTTATTTCTATATGGGACATTTACTTTCTTAAGAAAACCAAAAGTAGAACTCTGAAAAGCATTTACTTTAGGATTCCACCACTAGAATTCTCCCCCAAACAATTAAACACCTGCATGTAGCTGTTTTCCTGGTTAAACTTGTTCCATTTCACCGCTTCCAGGAAGTCTTTGTGGATTTCCTTTCCCAGACATGTTGCTAAAACTTATGATTTAAATTGGAATTGGAAATTCCAGTTTTCTGATGTCCTAGTAGCAGTGGGTCTCAATGAGGGTAGTTAAGGTTTCTGTTTTTTATCATCTCAATGACTGGGGTGGACTCCTGCCTTTCACACCCTGAAGTGCATTGGGCATCACACACAATGAAGGATTGTCCCAAATTCAGCATCCAACACAACAATCACATGTCCTCTGGACATTCAGGGTTGTGAAAATCCAGTCTGTACATATCTGAGCCAAGCCTGTATGCCTTCTTCCAAATACTTTTGAACTGAATTTTCCAAGGAAACAGCTTTCCTGTAAACATAGGGGAAGTTAAGCTTTATGCTGGTTAGAGCTCTCCAAGAGTTTCCCCCCATCTTGGAAAATCGCATTACTGACAGCAGTGCTGCTTGGTGGTGTTTGTGCGCCCACACAGCATGTGTGTATTGGTTTTGTAGGTGTTACATTTACAACGCTTCTTCCCGCAGGTGCAGACAGGTGTTTCACTATATTCTCTGGTGCAGTTGTGTCCAAGCATTTGCATACTTACACACATGCTGCTTTATGTGTTATGTTTCTTTTATTTCTCAATAAATAACAGCTGGGACATTTTTATTGACATAAAAATAAGAAAGTTGAGTTGTAAAGATGGCATTATTAAATATTTGTTATAGAGAAAGACGATGGTGGGTCTGGGAGATTTGAAAACCCTTGTGTGAGAGGAGTATGATATGACTATTTGCTTGTTAGAGTTTCATTTGTTCTCCCATTCAACAAATACCTCCTGAGAATAAGGCATCAAGGAGGATAGAAAGAGGAATACACAGGAATCCTAGCTTAAAGGAATCTCTGTCTTTGGCGAAGTCATAGTCTAGTGAGGAAGAGCACTTGTTTAGCAGGGGAGGTGAAAATTTAGACAAGTAATTAGACTGTAATATAGAGCATGATGAAAGCTTGTAGGAGAAGTCCAAGCAACACGCTTTGAAAAGTCACAGAAGGAAGCAGTTAATTCTGGCCAGGTCAGGGAAGGCGGGTGAAGGGCTGGCCTGTGAATTGGGCTTTCGTGGGAGTGGATTTGTGGGGATGGGGAATCTGCGCATAGCAGGTCAAGAGTGGCTCAGTGATTTCCACAGCTGGATTGCTGTTTGTAACCGTAGGGGCTGATGAGCCGGATTGCTTTCCATACTTTTAGAAAGCAAATAGCTAAGCACCTTGACAGCCAGCATAAGAAATGCGTGTCATAATAAGCAATTATTGATCAGGGAGACATTTTTATGGTGTTTTGGGAGTAACTGAATTATATGCACTGATGTGTTTGAATTATAATTGTTTACCAGTTCACTGGGAGTAAAATATGGAGTAATAAAACAGATGATACCCCATTCCTTGATATCCCAGCTCTCCTTGAGCATGACCTTCCTTCAGAATTACCTTAATCACCCAGGATGAAAGACAAAGTCTAAGGGCTTTTATGATGCTGCTCATAACACTCATCAAATGTTTCACTGTGGATAATAGACCAAGAATAAATAGCATGTAAACAAGTTTAATTACTTGAGAGCTCCACTCTCCACCAAGACACCAAACACATTCCTAAGTTATTCTCTCTTTAGTTTGTTAAAGAAAATTACAGAGGAAATAATGATTAAAATATTTACTGTTACCCAAAGGATGGCAGTAAATAACAGTCTATACAAAATTATCAAAATGTATGGAAATAAGATGAGATAAACATGCAACCATGGCACTGTCTATTCATTAGATTTTAATGATCATTTTCAAAAGTCATGAAGAGAAAAAGCATGATTTTTAGAGCAGAGACAGTAAACTTTGTGCTATAGACAGTAAAAAGTTAGAATGGAATTATTCAAGGCATAATTCCAGTCTAAGTAACACAGACAAACATTTCAAGTAGGAAAATATATTTCTCTCAAAAGGAAACCATGAATTTTGTGCTTCTGTGCAGTTTCATCTTTCCCTAATACATTAAAAATCTAGAATTTTCCCCTATCCTTCACGAACACACTATTTGCCTGATTTAAAAGTCTCAATTATAGAACCTGAGTGGCAAATGTCCTATAGCATTATGAGAGTGGGAAGGAACACAAATGGCCATTACTCCACTCCCCTGCCCCCTAAGTGGGATTCAAAGCCATTATCATAGATAGCAAGGACATAAAAGACTATCCCTAGATATTACAGAGAAATGTAATATCAGCAAGGAGATAATTGAGGAATAAAAGAGCAACTAAATCAGTGTTTGACTGTATGGTTATGGATAGCAAAGGCATATCCATAGAAAACTAAATGGCTTCATTAGGTATGGTCCTCCAGAGAAAAGTGGTTTTTTACCTGTGATGCCTTAAAACATGAGATAAAATTTTGGGTTCATTCCTCTGACATAAGTGCTTTTTCTGAAGTCCTCAGAAGACCTTATTTCACATGAAAGGGATATTTTGGATTGGTTGAATTGGAACTAGAATAGCCCTAAAATACAATTCTTAAGATTTTTCAAATCTTATCTTTATCCCATGAATATATGCATTGTAGTGCCTATCATGTAAAATCTACCATGGACCACTATGTTAAAGGAAATCTTCAACAACACTGAGTTGTACCCTTTTTTCCCTTTGCTTATCATATCTTATTTATTGGTCTAGTTTAGATTCTTTGTCAGTTGACAGGGACAATTGAATGATGTTCTCTAATACCATTTAATAAACATCATCAAGTAGTTGCAGATATTTATTGAATTATTGCCATAAGTCAAGAAATTTTCTATTTTACATATGTGAATGTGTTTATTGCATGCAATAGAACTGATGAAGTAGGTATTAGTTTAATTCCTATTATTCTGGTAACAAAATTGAGACACAAAAAAATAGAGTAATTTGCCCTAGGTCATACAGTTTGTAAACTGTGGAGCCAGGACTTGAACACATTTATTCCTGCTCAACAAAACCCATCATTCTGTAAAGCAATATAATAAACCATAGCAAAATATCAGACCTTATGTTTAATGAGTATTAAGTGTAAACAGTTATCCTAATCAATGTCAGGCATAATCCTAAACTTCTCTCCATTGATTTTGAGGTAATTGTAATTCATGCTTTTTAGATTACAGTTCTGTGAGTTTTGACAAATGCATACAGTTGTGTAACCACTATTACAATCAAGACACAGAACAGTCCCAGTACCCGCCCCCCTAAATTGCCCCAGGCCTCTCGCGGTCACTGTTTTAACCCCCAGACTCTGGCAGCCACTGATCTCTTTTCTGTCTCTATAGCTTTTCCTTTTCCAGAATGTCATGTAAATGGAATCATGCAGTTATCTTTTTATTTTTTTCCTGACTCCTTTCACTTAGTATTGAATACTTGCTCTGTGCCCCTGTGCATAACCCAACATTTCACCCCTCCCAAAGAGTTATAAACTGTATTTGGATTATTACTAGTAGCTCTCTTACATTTCCTGCTTTGTCTGTCTTCTGTTTGATCTGCGTAATAAATCCTAACCTCATTTTACATTCCTTCACCAGCTTCCTCAATGGTTTTCTAATAGTGTGGGAAATCAAACAAGACAGGTGCATGTTTGTGTGGTTGAGTTTGCAGCATGTTTTCCAAGAAGGCTTTGAGTCAGAAAAATAGGGAATGCACATGTTGGTTTCTATAGTTATTATTTGACAACTTGTATCTGTTGCCTTTTTTGTAATGGTCTAACTTCTTTCTCCAATGACAGTGCTCGACATTACATTAAACCCTTTCCATAGCAACACATTTGTAAAAAAGTTGAAGTGTAGTTGATTTACAATGGTGTGTTAGCTTCAAGTATATAACAAAGTAATTTAGTTATATATGTATATATTTATAGATGTATGTTTCAGAATATTTTTCATCATAGGTGATTTTAAGATATTAAATACAGTTTCCTGTGCTATACAGTAAATCCTTGTTGCTTATCTATTTTATATGTAGTAGTTTGTTAACCCCATACCCCTAATTTATTCCTTCCCCCTTTCGCCTTTAGTAACTATGTTTGTTTTTCTATGCCTGTGAATCTGTTTCTGTTTTGTATATAGATTCATTTGTATTATATTTTAGATTCCATATATAAGTGATATCATATAATATTTGCAACACTTATTAAAACAACTTTAATGACATGCATGGAATAGTGGCTGAGAATGGTAGCAAAGATTTTCAGTACATAGATCATTTAATTCTATTTTTCTTAACCACATCCTGCCTTTTTTATTCTTTACTAAGAACATTAATTTGAAGATTAGATGTTTTCCTCTATTTTAATCTTCAAATGACCTTTATTCCCTGCTTCTGCACTTTGCTAGATTTATTCCAGCCTCTTCCACTGGGGTCATAGTTCAGCTTCAGCTTGAAGCCAAATGCCCCACAGCTGAAATGACCGCACCTCTGAAGTGGCATTTTCCCAGGCCACTCTTGCCTTTAATAATGAGCCAGCGAGGAGGCAAGTTTGTATCTCTTTACAACAGAGCCTTGTGTTAGGCCTGGTGCACAATTAGATGTGAAGAATTACAATTGGTCCTGTCTTTGCAGGATCTTTCAGAACCATGTCTGCGCTTAAGCCATTACTTTTATTTTTAGACTAATGATTTTGCCTCTCTCTCTCCCCCTCTCTCCTTCTCTCTCTTATTTAATAACAACAATGAAAGAAACCAAGGAAGTTCAGAGATTTGCAGCTTTAAAAAGACTGGATCCCGAAAAGATTTTCACAGGACGCTTCAGAAACAGACGTTTGAGTCAGAAACCTTGGAGTGCAGTGAACCCAGCGCTCAGGTATTTCCTATCAACAAACACGGTTGCCAGGTTACTAGGCTGTTCTGCCATGGCATGCTGTTGATTTTTTTAAAAGCTAATAAAAAGGCTAGACTCATCGAATATGAGAATAGAAGGAGCTCTACCATTTAGTCAGTGATATTTTTTTCACACTTGTTTGTAGCTATAGAAATTGGTGTTCAAATAAAAGTAGATAAAAGTGGAGGGGCTCTAACTTGGGGGGGATTTGGGCCCATCCCTGTAATGATCCCGGCAGAGACTCAGGGGTGCCCCCATGCCTCAGGCAGCCTGCAGTGTGATTGAAAGCTCCATCCTGGGGCAGACTGCCTGGCCCTCTGTGTGATTCTACCATACACCTACTCTATAACCTCAGACAGGATAGCTCAACTCTCTGGTCTTCAGCTTCCTCCCCTGGAAAACAAGGATGATAAAAGTACACAACTGGTAAAGTTGTTTGAGTATTAAATGAGTTAATATGTGTGAAGCATTTAAGACAGTGCCAGCTCACACTTTGTGTCCAGTGAATGCTGTTATTATTATTATTGCTGTTACAAAGTAGTTACAATTTAAAAGTCAGTACTCCATACACCTGTTTTCATAGCAGCATTATTCACAGTAGCCAAAAGGTGGAAACAATCAAGTGTCCATGGACAGATGAAGATATAAACTAAATGTGGCATATACATATGGTGGAGTATTTTGTGTGTGGGTGTGTGTGTGTGTGTGTGTGTGCACGCGCGCGCGTGCACTAAGTGGCTTCTGTCATGTTCAACTCTTTGTGACCCCATGGACTGTAGCCCACCAGGTTCCTCTGTCCGTGGGATTTTCCAGGCAAGAACATTGGAGTGGGTGCCATGCCCTCCTCCAGGAGATCTTCCCAATCCAGGGATTGAATCCCCATTACTTAGGTCTCCTGCATTGGCAGGCAAGTTCTTTACCCTAGCACCACTTGGAAAGTCACAGTGGAGTAGTTATTCAACCTTAAAAAGGGGGAAAATTCTGATACATATTCTACAACATGGATGAACCTTGCAGATGTTACACTAAGTGAAATAAGCCAGTTACAAAAGAATCAATACTGTTATGATTCCATTTATATGAGGTACCTGGAATAATCAGATTCATAGATGTATAAAGTTAAAATGGTAGTTGCCAGAGGCTGCGGAGAGGTAGGAATGAGGAGTTCTTGTTTAGTAAGTATAGAGTTTCTGTTTTACAAAACGAAGAGCTCTGGAGACTGGTTTCACAACAATATAAATGTACTTAACATTACTGAGCTGTACACTAAAAAATGATGAAAATTTTATATTACATGTGTACTTACCACAATTTACAAAAGATTTTAAAAGCCAGAGCTCTGGTCCAGTCTGTCCATTATATAGGTTAAAAAAAATAAAGCATAGATGAAGAAATGTGTCCAAGTTTGCACAGGACTTCTAAACCAGTATAGTTTTCAGCTTTCAGGTGCCCTCATAACACAAGCATCTCACCATGCTGAATATGATTAGAGGTTTTAGATAGTACCTATTTCAAACTACAGCCAGGCTGACTACTTATCTCTGCAGAGGAATCAGGCATCAATTCTGGAGCTGAATCTGGTGGGCTTACTGAAATGTGGAATATCTGTATGCCATCCTCTATGGGAAATTTCAGGGGGTTTTCATTGGTAATTTTAACTAAATTCTGCTTTCATCATGTAGATGACCAACTAAATTCTTCCCTTATTTCAGTCAGACAGAAACCACACTAGATATTTCCTCTGAAGAAATGTTACATAGGGAATTAGTTAAACGTATTTTTGAGGACTGAGAGAACCAAAAAGGAAAATTGAAGTCTTACAGAAATTGTAACTACAAAGAATAGCACAGCACTCTAGGGCTGGGGTCTGTGGCAGTGAGTATCAAACCGAAGTGTCATTGGAATCCCCCTGAAGGGCTTGTTTGAACACAGATTGCTGGCCCCACTCCAGAGTTTCTGTTTCACGGCAGCTGGAGTAGGGACTTGAGAATTTGCATTTCTCATGAACGTTCCCTAGGAAATGCTGATACTGCTAGTCCCAGGACTGTGTTTGAGAACCATGGGTCTAGTTGGAGGAGCTTGGAGTTATCGGAAACTACAAGCTCAGAAGAGAGGCCTCAGAGCTGGGACTCAAATACCTGAGGAGGGGGTATAGCCTAGTGTCATTAGGGGAAAGATCTCACAAGGGCTGAGAGTCTGGACTCAGACCTCCCGGGAGAAAGAATTGCCCAGCTGATGCTGGTACCTCCAAGGAAGGTAAGATGATAGTTTTTCTGGAAGTGCTGGAAGAAAGAGAAAACTAGAAGCAACTGCCACTACCAAGATGAGAAGAACTGCAGGCAGAGAGAAAGCAGCCAGTCCCTCCTCCCTCCCCCAGCCATGCAGAGCCTAAAGGGAGAAATAGCAAAGCAGAAGCAGGATTTGCTCAACGCAGACCCAGTATCACAGAGAAGAGCATAAAGGGTGGCTTCAAGAAGGCGAGGGTGAGATGATCTGAGAGAATAGCATTGAAACATGTGTATTATCAAGTGTGAAACAGATCGCCAGCCCAGGTTGGATGCATGAGACAAGTGCTCAGGGCTGGTGCACTGGGAAGACCCAGAGGGATGGGATGGGGAGGGAGGTGGGAGGGGGGATCGGGATGGGAAACACATGTAAATCCATGGCTGATTCATGTCAATGTATGGCAAAACCCACTACAATATTGTAATTAGCCTCCAACTAATAAAAATAAATGGAAAAAAAAAAAAGTCAATGAGCAGCACACTCATTCCTCATTCCTCCAGCACACCAGGTCATTGGCTGGGTTTCAGAGGCCAGTTATACAAAAGTGTGTGTTTTTAAGTATTAAACTAATACTCATCATGGAGAGGTGGTCAGACAGGCAGCATCTTCCCGTTCAGTCATTCTTAGGAACCTTTTTGAGTGGAATTGTGAGGTCAAATGCCTGAATTTACATAATTTAAATATATATATATATATATATATATATATATATATATACACACACATGTATATATGATATGACTCCATAGTACAAATATATTTCATAAAAATTCGATTATATGATATTATTTAACTTCTTTTTTCTTATTAACAAGAAAATATACCTTGATCATCTTTCTCTTCTAATGACAGCATGTTCTTCTTTTTATTTAAAGGCTGAGTAACATTCTATTGTAGGAAAGTTCCAAAATCTCTTAATCTCAAAACTTTCTTTTTGGGGGGGATGCTTAAGTTGTTTTTATTATTTTGTTACTGCAAACAGTGTTGCAGAGATACTCTTGTCCCCACACCTTTGTTTACTTGTCCAGTTGTGGCCTCTAAATAAATTCTGGAGACAGACACAGATGTTGATCCTTGTAAAGAGTCTTGGGTAACCCAATTAATTTTCCCAAGAATCTTACAAATACTAAGATGAACAAAAATTTTAATAACTAATATTAATATTGGTTAATATTGTGTGTGAATGTGATTGTTAATACATTCAGTTTAGATAAAATTTATGACCTAGGAGAGCAGGGCTTTTATGAAGTAGACAGATGTCACCAAAAAAATTTTTTTAATTATTTTATTTATTTGTTTATTTTTGGCGGTATGGGGTCTTCATTGCTGCATAGGACCAAAGCTGTTTTATAGAGTTATTGCACAGTAGTATGTCCACTTAATAGTACTTTGAGAATAACATTCTACCATATATCTTACAGATACGTGTAATAGATCTCTCTATGTTCTTACAACGTATTGTTGCTTTTGGTTTTATATTTTTTGCCAGGTCTCGAGTTAGGAATCCAGTTTGCAATTTCCAAGACATTTCTAATGGAATAAAGCATCCTCTTTTTGACTGAAATTTTTTCAAGCATGCTGCAACTGAGTGAATACTGCTGAAATAGCAAGTGCTTTTCTCCCCCCTCTGGTGCTTATTCCTGTAACTGTTACTAAAGTCCTGTAGGAAAGAGTTCCCATGCCCACATTTCTGTCTTTGGAAACATGCTTTGGAGTTTATATAAAGTTTAATTTGGAAAGCTCCTCACAGATCATCTTATTTTCCAGTTTTGAAAGCCAAGTTCTGGAGTTAAGATTAGCATGAGGTCTCTTTATTCCCCAGTCCAGTCTCCGCCCCCCCCCCCCGCCCCCCTTTTTTTAACACCTTTTTCCAGTTATGCTTAAGCACAAGACATGTATATGGTTCATAGGAGGCTTGGCTGCCAATCTCCAGAAAAGAACAGCCCCTCAAACTAAAGCACTACAGTACTATTGTCAAACTTTTCCTCAAGAACGGGTGTATCTACATCTGATGAGTTAATCACCTGCTTCCAGGCAGGAGAGAGACATGTAAATTTAGGATATGCAGTCCAGGAAGCTATGATGTGATTCTTGTCAGAGACTCCTTGAGGCCTGATTCTGCAGCCCCCCGTTGGAGCCATCTGGAGACCTCCCAGGCCCTTTAGTTCTCATTTGAAGCCCATGATCTCTCCCATGAAGCCATGTCTTTTTCTTACAGGCAGGTCCCCGCCACCTGAACGTGCTGTGTGATGTCTCTGGGAAAGGTCCCAACACTGCCTGTGACTTTGACCTCCGTAGCCTGCAGCCTGACCCGAGGCTGGAAAACCTTGTACAGCAAGTGAGCGCTGAGGACTTCGAGAAGCAGAATGAGGAGGCGCGGAGGACCAATCGGCAGGCCGAGCTCTTTGCCCTTTACCCGTCAGTGGATGAGGTGGGTGCGCCTGTCTCCACACTGGGGAATTCCAGCGAAGACACAGAGAGCCTCCCAGGAAAATGTTATTGCTTGTCACTATTGTGTAGCAATGTCAGGATGCTTAATTGTGTGATTTCTGGGCTGTGTTTTTCAGTAAGGCAAGCCCATATAACAGCAGAGCAAATTACTGATCAGTCATACCCTGGTGGCCCAGTGGTGAAGAATCTACCTGCAATTCAGGAGGCATAGGTTTGATCTGTGAGTCAAGAAGATCCCCAGGAGGAGGGCATGGCAATCCCCTCCAATATTCTTGCCTGGAAAATCCGATGGACAGAGGAACCTGGCGGGCTACCGTCCTTGGGGTCACAAAGGGTCAGATACAACTTAGCAACTGCGCACACACACTACCAAGTCTGGTGGCTTACTTACTAGTGTCCTGAATTCGCTTCAGCTTTATTTTTTTCTCATCCATATTTTCCAACCACCTTGGTTTTGTCATCTATTTATTTTTTTTGCAGTGGCCTCAAATCCTCATTTTTAATTGTCAGAGGGCTCAAATCCTCTTCTGAATGAGGAAGATTAAATATGAATAATATGGACAGTGTTATCATCTCCATTCTTCATATTGCAAAGTAAGAATCAGAGAGGTTAAATAACTTGTTCAGGATTCAACAGGCAGATTGAATTATAGAACGGGGATTATAACACATTAATTCCAAGTTTTATGTTTAACTGTTTATCTATATATGGCTATACCTAATGGAAATCCAAAGATGACATAAACAATCACATCTTGTAACTTTTCAGTTTCCACCTATAGATTTAGAAGTTTTTACCAAATTTGTCTAGAAATATTATATCTGACTGATACGACCTTCACATTCCTCTTCCTCCCAGTTCCCTGATGGAGGTGCCAATAGGTAATAATGACCCCAAATGGATACCATAAGAGAAGAAACAGTTAAAAGGTGAGGAGGAGACTTACAGTGAGACATCAGCTCATTAAAATCTCCTTCACTAGATAAAATGGGAGGATATCCAGGCTTGATTACAAGGATGAATCATAGACCATTTTGAAGGAATTGTGTTTTATGGTCTTTAAATGATGCAGAAACTCAGTTGAGACTAAAAGTAATGATCTAGCAGACATCCTAATGCAGCCTGCTTTACTAACTGGAGAGGATTCTTTGTGATTAGTGTATAGGATATTTGGAAATTGGAAAGTCTAAAATACTTGAAGGCTTCTATACTGGCCCTTTAATGTGCTGAAGTTATACACACAAAAATTACATTTGCTCTTATAACTTGTACTTTCTCCAAAGAAAGTCCTGTAGAAAAAAGGGGTAACTTTCTTACCTACTATGAAATGACTACAAATGCTGATTTTTTTTGGACAACACATTCATGAAATTATTTTACATAATTATTACTTTATGTCCTTGTGAAGAAAATTAGAAGAGAGGTGAACTATTATATCCAATTAAGACTGAGTATACAGGGGAGGCAAAATTAGAATTCAACCACCAAGCTTCTACGAGGTGAGTTCTTTCCCTGATTCACTCTGATTCTGTAAAAGGCATGTGCTGGTCCCTAAGAAAGGTGCAGTATTCTCCAGATCATAGGGGAGTTTGCACTAGGACTCTTCTAGGTTGCAAGTGATAGAACCCAACTAAAAACAAATTTTTTTAAAAAGTGGAGACTTACTGGCTTGTAATGAAATCTCAAGCAGGGAGATGTGGAGTTGGCCTCAGGTTCCACTGGGTCTGGTGACAGAAGAACCTCATCTCTCATATTATCCCTTTCTCTCTTGTGATCCCTCTCTCTTTCTCACTGTAAATATCTGTTTTCTCCCAGGAAGAGGAAAACAAAAGGTGTACACGACTTCATATTTCCTCTTCTGCATCATTGGCAATTCATTTTTATTTCAGATAACTGTAAAAGTGCAAGAAATTCACATGGTTTAGAGAAGACTTGGGAAACATATGAACATATAGACCTTGTTTGGAACCTGAATTAATGAACTAAGTATAAAAAAAACAGCAGTTGGGGAAGTTTGGAGCTGACTACATATGTCATGAAAATAGGAAATTATTATTAATTTTTAAAAATTAATAGTAGCATTATAGTATATGTTTTTAAAAGTCCTTATCTTTTGGAGGTCTCTACTGAAATACTCACTGATGAAATTACATGATCTCTGGGGCCTTGTTCTGAGCAATCCAGCATTGAGTGGTGGAGCAGTAAGTGAGGGCACATGCTGTGTGCTGTGTTAAGCTGCTTCAGTCCTGTCCGACTCTTTGAGACCCCATGGACTATAGCTCACCAGTCTCCTCTGTCCATGGGATTCCCCAGGCAAGAACACTGGAGTGGGCTGCCATGCCCTCCTTTGGGGGATCTTCCTGACCCAGGGATGAGACCAAATTGCCCATAAGTCAAAATTGTTGAAGCTAGGTGATGATTACATATGATCCATTACAGTGTTTTCTCTACTTTTGTATATGCTTACAATTTTCCAAATGAAGAGCCTTTTAAAAGTATACCAAAGTTTTGAATCCAGACCAAAAGCAAAGTATTTTTACGGTGAAGCTGTTTTCCAATAGGGGGCCCCTTCCGTTTCAGATGTGTCTGTCCTGATCACCCTGAAAGTTCCAGCTTGCTCTGAGGGCCTTCACCTCAGTGTGGGCATCAGAACAGCACCTCCTGTGAGACAACAACTCAGCAGTTCTACCCACCAAACTGTTTAACACAAAGGGGAATTGAAAGTTAGAGTGGTGGTGAGTTTACACCTGGGACTGTTCCACCAAACTGGGCACAGATTTAATAAGATGATTTTATTGCTATTTTAAAAAATTCTTCTGGTTGCTGTCGGGTATTTGGGATGACATTTATAGCCCAGGAATTGAGAGAGAGTAGCACTGAAGCATATACATTACCATAGGTACAATAGATAGCTAGTGGGAAGTCACTGTATATCACAGGGAGCTCAACTTAGTGCTCTGTGATGAACTAGAGAGATGGGGTAGCGGGGTGGGAGAGAGGTCCCAGAAGGAGGGGACTTATGTATACTATAGCAGCTTCTTGTCATAAGGCAGAAACCAACACAACACTGTAAAACAATTATCCTCCAATTAAGAATAAATTTAAAAATATAATTAGACATGGCCCTATTCATTGGACACTTGTGAGCTGCAGACCATTCATCAGAGTTTCTGTACCTACTACAAGAGCGGGAATTAAAGTTCTCAGGACGACTTGCACTGTCAGTCTTTGCATCCATGACTATAATTAAGGTACTGTGATAGTTCACATTTGAATTTTTTAATTAATTTTTCTTAGAGTATAGGTGCTTCACAATGGAGTGTAGGTGCTTCACAAAAACTAAAAAAATTCGTTTTTGCTATATAGCAAAGTGAATCAGCTGTATGTTTACTTGATACTTTCCCTTAAGTCTTTGGTCCCTATGTAGTGAAATAGACAGACATATCTCTTAAAGTGTCATTACTAAGCTTTTCGATTCTTAGGACTTCAGCAAGTTCTAGCTGGACATGTCTATTTAGAACCTATAAATTCAGCCCCAAATCTCTATCATCTGTTTAAGGAAACTGTGAACCAAGAAAGCCACTGTATTATAGTATTAGTGGTTTACAGTTTTAGGGTTTTAGGTGAAAATTTCTGACTCAAATCTCAAGTCTGAAACTCACATATTTACTAGTAAAGCCCTCGGCAGGAGAAATATTCTGATTGTGTCCTTAGAGCCAGCAAAAAAAAAAGTCAACAATAGGTATAAGATTTTGCAATGCCATCTGGTGGATGTTACTAAGCCTTATCTATGTTCACATTTCCTTCCTTCCTCTTTTGGTCTCTTTGTCTTAAATGTTTGGTTGTCTAAAAGGAGAAAAATGTTTGCTGTAAATGCTGACTTTGAAGCATGGAGGTTGGATAATAAACTCTTATAAAGTTGATGTATTATTCTGTGATTAGAAATAAAGCAAATGCAGATTGTCTTCCATGGTAGATAGCAGTCTTCCTTTCCCTTGGTTAACTGCAGCTGATTACTTCACTACTGATTTCATGGGAATTCACTACTGATTTCTTTTACAATGCGATTAATAATAGGAGGATGCTGTGGAAATACGTCCGGTACCAGAATGTCCCAAGGAACATCTGGGAAACAGAATATTGGTCAAGTTGCTGACCCTGAAGTAAGTATCAGCAAACACTACCTACTCCTTTGAGATCTGTCTTGCCTTTCAGATACAGACTGTGTCTTTCTCATCAGAGTTTGAATCGGGGAGGACCCCAACACACTTTTAACAGTGGGCAGCTGTGAAGTAGTAGAAAGTCCAGAGTTCAGAATCAGGTAGTCCCAGATTCTATTCCTGCCAGGCCTTTGACAGTCATTCTACTATGAAAAGGAAGATGAACACTAAGGTTAGATGTATAGGTAATTAATTGAGTGAAATGTCCTGCGATAAGAAAAATAGCAGTAAAAGCCAGTGGTGTGCTGGAGTCCACTCTAACTCGTGAGAGCTCAGTGTATGCTTCTCTTCCCAACTCTTTATTCAGTGAAGTCACATTGGTAGTTTAAAATTAGCCATGGTGGAATGGTAGAAATATTTACAATATTGAAATCAAAAAATTCTACACGTTAGATCCTTTTTATTTTTAGAGATTTATATGCATTTCCCAACATACCACTATTAAAACACAATTAAAAATGCAACTAAAACTCAGTTTCAGCGCCAGAGGACATTAGAGCATAGTGGGGATTGTAGCAAACTATCCTGTGGGGGCGCTCTCTACTAGCTTGGGCCAACTCTTGCCATCCAAATGAACTGACCCATTTTGATCTGATTTTTTTTTTTAATCAGTTGTCTGTTTTTTTAAAAAGAGAATCTAGAAACCCAGATTTTTCTGCATGATTTCCTGACTTCTTAAAAATTTTCTCATTTCCTTCTTTAGTAATACACGTTTCAAACAGAACATGTCTGAAATCTGAATTCATCTCACGGGTCAGATTAGAGAAGAAATAAGTGAAAAAGAAATGAAAGAAACAATCAGTTCAATAGCTCAGTTGTCTGACTCTTTACGACCCCATGAACCACAGCACGCCAGGCCTCCCTCTCCATCACCAACTCCCAGAATCTACCCAAACCCATGTCCATTGAGTCGGTGATGCCATCCAACCATCTCATCCTCTGTCATCCTGCCTTCTCCTGCCCTCAATCTTTCCTAGCATCAGGGTCTTTTCAAATGAGTCAGCTCTTTGCATCAGGTGGCCAAAGTATTGGAGTTTCAGCTTCAACATCAGTCCTTCCAGTGAACACCCAGGACTGATTTCCTTTAGGATGGACTGTTTGGATCTCCTTGCAGTCCAAGGGACTCTCAAGAGTCTTCTCCAACACCTCAGTTCAAAAGCATCAATTCTCTGGTGCTCAGCTATAAAGAATTATAGTCCAACTCTCACATCCATACGTGACTACTGGAAAAACCATAACTTTGACTAGACAGACCTTTGTTGACAAAGTAATGTTTCTTCTTTTTAATATGCTGTCTAGGTTGGTCATAGCTTTTCTTTCAAGGAGCAAGTGTCTTTTAATTTCATGGCTGCAGTCACCATCTATGGTGATTTTGGAGTCCAAAAATATAAAGTCTCTCACTGTTTCCATTGTTTTTCCATCATTTGACATGAAATGATGAGACCAGATGCCTTGATCTTAGTCTTCTGAATGTTGAGTTTTAAGCCAACTTTTTCACTCTTCTCTTTCATTTTCACCTAGAGGCTCTTTAATTCTTCTTCTCTTTCTGCCATAAGGGTGGTATCATCTGCATATCTGATGTTATTGATATTTTTCCCAGCAGTCTTGATTCCAGCTTGTGCTTCATCCAGCCCAGCATTTCTCCTGATGTACTCTGCATATAAGTTAAATAAGCAGTATGATAATATACTACTTTGACGTACTCCTTTCCCTATTTGGAACCAGTCTCTTGTTCCATGTCCAGTTCTAACTTGCTTCTTGACCTGCATACAGATTTCTCAGGAGGCAGGTCAGGTGGTCTGGTATTCCCATCTCTTGAAGAATTTTCCACTGTTTGTTGTGATCCACACAGTCAAAGGCTTTGGCATAGTCAGTAAAGCAGAAGTAGATGTTTTTCTGGAACTCTCTTGCTTTTTCCTAGGCAAAACTATGTAGGCATAAAAAATTTTCATACCCTATTAGGAAAGTCATCCATCTGTTAAAGTCAATTCATGAACCCCTTAGGCAGCACCTGGTTTGCCATTAGGGCACTTGGATTTTGGATTCAAGCCTGTGTTTCAGCCCTGGGGACTTCTCTGGAATTTTGAGTTCTTATAAATAAAGTAGTTAGGCCAGATCATCCCAAAGTTCCTACATGATGTAAATTTCTGATTCTTATGTGGAGCCTCCCCAATTCCTCTCCTCAGAACATAAGCCAGCATGACTGCTTACACAGTTGTGGGGCTCTCTTGGTCTTGTAGCACTCTCCTCAAGTAAATGCTACCAGCTGGTGGGGGAGTTAAGACTTTTTGTCTTGTACACAGAGATGAGCAGCCAATAAGCCAGCTTTGTGTTGATCAGTGGGAACATAATGCTAGTCCCTGGGATCTGACCCAGCTGGGGGAAACTCTTAGCCCTTCAGCAGGAGAACTGAGTGGAAGTGGCTGTTCCATCCCCCTCTACATTCATCATGCAGGAAATCCACCCTATTGTCTGAGGCTCTCACCCACCCCCACAGGAAGTGCATCAGGCCACTGCTGGCTGCAGTAACTCTGCTCTTTGGGATTGGAGGAATTCTACCCTCTGATGCTTGACACTCAGCCTCCTAGATGTTTTCTATAAGTAAATGGCAGATCTTCTCACAGATGGGAAGACATGGCCACTTAAGACTATTGTTAAAAAATAATCGTGTCACTTGGATTTCTCCTGATGAAATTTGTGAAGTGTAGTTTTAATGATTTTTCCCCCAAACTGCCAAAGCAGAAGTTAAAGACAACTGTAGTGTTTGCTCGTCTTTGACCTGCTCCAGTGTCTTAAATAGTATTCATACCAACATAAACCTGCAAGAGGGGAGATGTAGCTTTCACTACTTTAAATAAACTGGACAAAAGAAAGCAAGTTCTTACAGGTAAACCAATACAGATAACAAAATTTGCTGTCATATCCATTTTTCACTGGTATTTCAATGGCAGTAAATACATTCACATTGTTGTACAGCTATTACAACCATCTGTTTCCATAACTCTTCTCACTCACCCAAACTGGAATTTTATACCCACTAAACAATAACTCCCGTTTCTATCTTCCACCATTCCCTTATGGAAGTGGAATTATACAATGTTTGTCCTTTAGTGACTGATACATCTCACTTACACAGTTTCTTCAACGTTTGTCCATATGGTAGGATGTGTCAGAATTTCAAGGCTGAATAATTTTCTGTTGTATGCATATACCATATTCTATTGATTCACTCATCTTGGATGGACACCTGAGTTTGCGTCCACCTTTTGGCTACTGTAAATAATGATGTTCCTTGACATTGTTTATGAAGTATGTTCACACATATTGTCTTTCACAGTCCTTACAACAATCCTAGGAAATGGGAAGAGTAAGTATCCTTTCCTCATTTTACAAGTAAGTGGACCTGGGGAAAGTCAGTAACCCAATGAAGATTCCAGAATTAGCCAGACTGGGAGAGGGAGCAGAGCCCGGGTCTTTCTGACTCAGTGTCTGTGACTCTTCCATCATGCCCACTGTCTCATTTCCAAAGGTGTCATTTGACCAACTCCTCTGTCTGGTTACCTCTGTCCACATATTCTTTAAAAAATTCTCTTCTTAGACAAAGCTGTGATAAATCCATTCTCGCACACACAGTTGAAAACAGGATTTGACCTAATTTGCATGGCTTCTGCAGTGGCAGTGGTCCAGGGCCTGGTTACTAGGGCTCTCAGCTGGCAACGTCATAGGTTGTTAGTGAAGTGAAGTCGCTCAGTCATGTCTGACTCTTTGCGACCCCATGGACCGTAGCCCACCAGGCTCCTCCATCCATGGAATTTTCTAGGCAAGAGTACTGGAGTGGGTTACCATTTCCTCCTCTAGGGGATCTTCCCCAGGGATCGACCCTGGGTTTCCCGCATTGCAGGCAGATGCTTTACCGACTGAGCCACCAGGGAATCCCTATATGTCAACCCGAAACATTTAGAAAGTGCATGTCTGTTCCATGTGCATCCTATAGCAAGCAGGATTGTCCTTGGGGTTGCCTTCTCTTGTCTTCGGCCCACCATTTCTGGGGGAATTGGCAATTAGGGCCAATGTGAGAGCTGCTCTTTCTAGCTCTCGTTGGATCCTCACACCTCAGTGTTGATCAGCTATGCTCAGTTCCCTCCCTCCACCTCAGTTCAAAAGCTCCCCTGGCAGTGGAAGGACCAGACACTCACACACATCATAACCTTATTTCCTTCTGGCTGTCCCACTATAAATCTAAAGAAAGGCAACTCAGCTTTTCTTTTTGTACGGGCTGAAAGCCGCAGCCCTTAAAATTGAATAATAAGAGCTACCTATTCTGGCAGTAAAATGTAAACTGTAAACAAAACCTTTAGCTAAGACAGCCTCAATCCTCGGAAAACCCAGCAGCTACAACAGTGAGAAGTGCCATGTAGGATCAGATGGAGGATCTGTTCCACACGCTCTCTGCTGCAGGGCCACCAGCAAGCACTTTCATGATCTCAAATGGCTGGGAATTTTCTATGAACCTCTCATACTGCTCTGTTAATATTCTCATATGATTCTCATATGCGTGGAGCTACCCAAATACTTCTGGAAACTACTTACATTTTTAATCAGATTACGAAGATGCATTTTCAGAAATTTCAAAATTATCAAAGTTAAGTCCATATAGACTTTTCTCTCTTTCTCTGACAGGTTTGAGATAGAAATTGAGCCTCTGTTTGCCAGCATTGCCCTCTACGATGTTAAAGAAAGGAAAAAGGTAAGTAAGCAAAAATAACTCAACCCTGAGGGCATTGTGTATTGTTCATGGAATCTTTGGGCTCATATCTTTAAATATCATTTCTATGCAGTAAAAACACATTAGATTTGAAAGCAAATGACCTTTGACATGTCCAGTTCTGTTGCCTTTTCAGTTTTTAAAGTAACTTGGGAATGTTTGTCATTTATGTTCTTTGAAGAATCTTAAAGGAAAAGTTGATAGCCTGGCTGAGACAGAGAACTGATATAGTGACATATGGGGTTACACATAAAACAAAGCAATTTAAACATGGCTCTAACAAGCTCAATGCATGTAATGTTTCCTGAGTTCGGGAGTTTTTCCATTTTATTGTGAATGGAAGGCATCTTGTGCAATAAAAGTCTAAATTTGCCGTTGGGTAGAGTCCTTACCAAGTATAACGTGCTTTTAATTGAAAAGACTTTTCCATGCGTGTTTTAATGTTTAGTCATTTTGTAACTCCTAAAGAAGGACAGAAATAGCAAAACCAGGGGAGAAACTTCTGCCCCCTTGCTCAAATACTATAACCACTCAGTATTTAAGGAAGTGTGTATTTTTTAAATAAATATTAATAATCATGAAGATTTGTATTAGCCAGGATAGGTTTAATGCTAAAACAGGAGACCCCACCACAAACACACACACACATTCAGTGGTTTAAAACTGTAGTTCTCAAATTTGCACAGGCATCAGAATCGCCTGGAGGGCTTGTTAAAACAGTTGCTGGGCCCAAGGCCAGAGTTTCTGATGCAGTAAATCTGGTGGGGCCTGAGAACTTGCATTTCTAACAGGTCCCCAGGTGATGCTGAAGCTGTTGGTCAGGGGACCACATATGAAAAACTTGTGGCTTAAGGAAGAAGAACTTTCTGTTGTTTGTTTCTTAACAATCTAGGGATTTTCCTGGTGGTCCAATAGTTAAGAATCCACCTTGAAGTGCAGCGGACTCAGGTTTGATTCCTGACTGTGGAACCAAGGTCTCACTTGCCCCAGAGCACCAAACCCGCCCCTGTGCATCACGAGGGAAGATCTCGCTTGGTGCAACAAAGACCCAGTGTACCGCATCTTAGACCCAACGCTGCCAAGTAAATAACTAACAGTCCAGGGTAGGGGCAGGGGCGCAGGGTCAACAGTGGTTTGCTCCACTCAGTCGTTCAGGAACCCAAGCTGGCATCTTTGGTATGTGGTCTCCCAAATCATTCTTGTCACTGCCACTGCAGCTCCCAGAAAAGGGGAATAGATAGCAGAGGGTGGAGGTGGGTAGAATTGAATCCCAGAAGTTTGACCCATCACTGCTCCTGCTCACAGTTCATTGGAGAGAATCTAGTTACAGGCTTCCCAGGTGGCGCAGTGGTAAAGAATCCACCTACCAGTGCAGGAGATACAAGAGATGTGAGTTTGATCCCTTGGTCAAGAAGATCCCCTGGAGTAAGAAATGACAACCTGCTCCAGTATTCTTGCCTGGGAAATCTCATGGACAGGGGAACCTGATGGGTTACAGTCCATGGGGTCGCAAAGAGTCAGACACAAGTGAGTGCATGTGCGTGCACATGCACGCGCGTGCACGCACACACACACACACACACACACACACACACAGACACTTACTCTTAACTGAAAGGGAGCTGGTAAATGCAGTCTCTGCTTGGGAGCCTCCTCTTGGCTGTAAATCTATTAGTGGTGAAAAGAGAACCAACTCTGCAAGGGTTCTTAAGTCACACTACACTATTTGGACCACTCGTGCAACAAGAGTGCTCCATCCGTGGAGCTCTCATCATGTCACAGTCTTGCTCAAAATCTTTTAACAGAGCCTCACTACCTGAAACATTAACAACAAACTCTTCACCTTCCACACCTGGCTTTCTTCAGTATGGCTGTCATCTGCTTTCTTTCCCTTGAGAGCCTAGGCAGAGTCAAGCTGCATTTCTCAGCATTAACTAAAGTCACTGCAGGTTTTCCAGCTGCTGAGACATCTGTGCCATGCTCTCTCCCTGGCACCTGTCACCCTCCAGCTCTGCCTGGTGGAATCTTCTTCCAAGGCCTGTCCATCTCATTCACCTCCCCCTTGGAAAGCATCCCCCATCCGCCCCACGGGATATGACCTCTCACCCTCGGGAACTTGCACAACGCTTTTCTTATGAGTGTGGTCACTTATATTTTGCTTCTACTGTAGTTAGTGCATATTTGCCTTTTCGCTCCTTCTTGACTGTAAGCTAATTGGGAGCCCAAGTAATGCCCTGTTCTTCTTCAGTGCAGTGCTTGGCACATCACTGTATTCGGGAGATATTGGCGGGATAATAAAAATTTTAATGTTTCAAAGAACATCTCTCAAATGACTCAAAAATACCCAGAGACTTTGGCAAAATATATATCAGATTTTCCAGCAAGCACTGATCATAAACCATGTCTATGATTACACTTACTTCTCTCATGAAATTTGGTGGGGCTTTTTCACTCTCTCTCTTTTTTTTTTTTAACGTGTTTAGACCATGAGAACAGCTGTCACTCACTTTTTTCATTTTGCCACTCGTTTACAGATCTCGGAAAATTTTCACTGTGACCTGAACTCTGACCAGTTTAAAGGATTTCTGCGTGCTCACACGCCCTCTGTTGCTACATCCAGTCAGGCAAGATCTGCGGTGTTCTCGGTCACCTACCCATCCTCGGACATCTACCTAGTAGCTAAGGTAGATCTGGTTTTGCACATCCTGATGTTCTCATTGTTGCATTAGTCCCAGTGCCTGTTTAGGGTGAAAGAGGTGTCAGAAAGTACTACATGTCCTCTGGGAGATTCACTTTGTTTCCCTCTCAACTGTACTCCTTTTCCTTTTCAAGCAAACTGTGTTGGATACTAGAATGACTATGTTCTGAAGTTATACAGTCCCAGGTTTCAGTCCTGGCTTTGCAACTTAGCACCTATATGACTTTGGGCAATTACCTAACCTTTCTGAGACTTAGTTTCCTCATCTGTTAAGTGCAGATAATAACACCTCCCTCAATGAGTAGATGTGACTACAGAATAAAGCCTGGTATGGATGAGCACCCTTCCTCCTAACAAGGAAAATCCCATTGGCTATCCAGCTCTGGGAGGCTGCTGTGGAGAAAATCTTGGATAGAGTCTCCTAATTATGTTCATGATTTTCTAAAGACCCAGAGTTAAACGTCTGCACATATCTAGGCTCTGACAGTTTGAGATGTGGGTTTTAGTTTCCAGGTTTCACTCTCTATTTTTTTTATCACTATTGTAGGCAGTTCTAAGTGGAAGGACCTTTTATTCTAGGTTGTACTCTTTACCAATGTAAGAAAACCAGAGACTTTCTCTACACTCCAAAATGGCTGGTTAGAAGTAAATGGCAAACATTGAGTATTTTATCTGCCTTAAGCCAAATAATTCATCTCACTGACTTTTTACCCTCAAATTTAAAAAAAGTTCAGATGTTTTGATTTCATGTACACGCAGCATTCTAGGTTTGGGACATTTTCTAGTTAGCACAGTGTTTTGTGTATATAATCTCATTGATTCCTCCTTGATCCCATGGGAGTAGCATACAGATTCCAAAAAGTTCAGGTGATATGGAAGTCACTTAAGTGACAGATATATTTCCCTTCTTGCTCCCTTTACAGCATTGTGCAAAGATTCTGAAGGTCATTATAGTTTGAAGGGAACTTGTGTAAGTTTTTGGAAACTACAGTTAAAATTCTGTTGCTGAAAAGACACATATGTTGTTATTAAATTTAATATGTATACTTTTCATTGCAGTATTACTTAGACATTCAGGAAAATTAGCTTAAAGTGCATTCTAGCAGCCTTTCAACTTGGAGTTAATTTGTAAACTCTCTCCAGCCTGAGAAATCAAAGAAGCCAACACTAGTTCTATAGATCCAAATTTTACTTCCAACTCCACTTCTCAGTGGATGACTTTATTTTGGCTAACCCCTGGTAGGTAGTATGCTATATATCAGTGGTTACCTGTGAGTGACTATTACTTACTAAATGTATTCCAAAATTTTCCAATGCATAAATGTATTCATTTGGCAGTGATAAGCATTCTCTAAATTGTCTGGGTAGAAGTTAAGAAATTTAAATCTGTCCAATAAGAGTCTCTGGTTTTCTTCTGATTTGTTTTTCTTTACAGTAAACCAGGGTTGTTGCTTCTTTCCCTCTAAATAGGGCTGAGGGTAGCCTCTTTACCTCCAGTAAATCCCCAGGCAATTCTGATATGCCCCATCGCCTACCTGCCATGGTAATGCGGACTCATGCATCTCTTTTACGCATCAGTCATGAAGGACCATATAGTAATCTGTCCTAGCAGCCTGCGGCTTTGACTCATGAAGTACCTGGAGTTAGCCTTGCCCAACTCGGTAAAGGGAATAGTGTCTGCTGTTCTGGTCAAATGTGGATTCTCCTGCTTCCAAATTCTGGAGGCCCCTCTCTTGTGCCACACTATACATATGAAGTCATAGCATTCCAGTTCTTTTGCTGCAGTGTCCTAGTTAAAAGATTCTTTGTCTCTGTTCAAAGTTCATTTTAAAGACCGCATTTTAATTCCTTGACTGTATGGAAAAATTAACTTCTCTCTTTCTAATTTTCTTTATAAGCTCCTGACCATGAACTTCAGGAGAATAGGACTCAGGTCTATCACGTTCACCACCTTGTCTCCCTAACAATTACACTGTAGAAGGGGCTCAGCAAATATTTATTTGAATGATAGGTGAATGATCGCTGACTAGTAGGAACACGGGTCAGCCTTTACCTCACGTGTTAAATGTCCGTGGTCTCAGCCTGGCACATCTCTCAGGAGGATCAGCCTTGTCTTCAGGCTATGGCAATGGGAAGGGGATTTTATGTTCTTCTTTGAGAAGAGAGACTTCTTGCTTGCAGTCTTCCTGACACAGATGTTAACTGAGAAGCCCCTTCTTGCTTGCTGTCTTCCTGACACAGATGTTCACTGAGAAGCCCCATGCTGCTTCCTTTAAAACTCCAGGAAACACCCCTCCATCAAACAGGATATTTCTGGTTTAAATACTTTGTACCTAACTGACAATGCCTGTTAAGAATGTGTGCCTTTTAGGATATATTGACCTAAGTTTCTTCATCAAGGATTGTCTCAACTAAAGATACAGACAAATGGGACTAAACCCACTTGGTTTTACTTGCACATCTAAGTTAAATTTTTATGAGCAGAGAATTAGGCAATTTTAAATTTCTGCTTTTCTTTCTTTCAAACATGGTGCCCAGATTTGTGGCCATCTTAAGGTAGTTGCAAGAAAATGCTTGACGGTAGTAGCATCCATTCATGTTACCAGCCAGTTAGCAAAGTGAAAAGCTGCACCATCCTCCTGCTTTCGAGTTCCTCTCCAAGTCTGTTAAATCCAGAGAAGCAGCCCTAATAGGAAATACAAAGGAAATGATTACAGATAATTTATTCTGTTCATTTATTCATTTTGTGGAAGGTTTTAGTCCCCAACCTGACTTTTACAGAGGTCATATCTCTTTTTTACATTGTAAGCAATAATAAAGAAAATGAGCTATTCACTTCCTACATATGTCTTATGGGTTTTGTATTATAAAATAACTTTTATTGCATTTTTTATTGTAGGCATAATACATGTTTATTGTTTAAAAACAGAGAATACACATAAGCAATAGGAGGAAAATATAGTACATAATCCCACCATACAAAGATAACTACTGTTAACATTTGCTGTGTATCTAATCTAATCCCTTTTATACGCCTTTATGATTTTCTTTTTTATAAAACTGTATAATACTCTTTGTACTAATTTTTTAAATAAGAAACATATATTGTGGACATCTTTTGATGTCATTAGATACTGTCATAAAGCACTATTTTGATGCTTGCATGGATTCCATTGTATGGATTAATTCATGAACTTTGTTTCAATATTATTTTTGTGGCAGATTGAAAAAGTTCTTCAGCAGGGAGAGATTGGAGACTGTGCAGAACCCTACATGGTTATCAAAGAAAGTGATGGCGGAAAGGTATGCAATTTTGGCTGTTGCTAATTGGTAGCATTTTAGAATAAGCAGATATCTTTCAAAAGTCTTCCACAAAATAGTTAATGGAGTTTAGTCCATAATGTGTCCCACTAGTCAATTATATTAAAACAAAATAAGGAAGGGAAAATGATCAATGATGATAACTTTTTAAAGAAATAAATTATTAAACTCAACAAAGTCGACATGTGATGATGTACACACCAATGTCTAGTTACAGAACTTGACTAGAGCAAAGACACTTCCTGTTGCCTTGGTTCTGAGGCTCCAACTCAGTTGGTTGAGAGGGCCACAGACACCCCGAAACTGTACACTGCCCAACTCTCTTAGCCTTATTACAGCATGGGCCATTGCCCTTTCTGGTATGAATATTTAAAAATTATCTTGAGACTGCCATACATCAGAAATTTATTAGTACAACATCTCTTCTCAGTACCCATTTCCAAAAGTTTCTAATATAGTTTTTAAAATATGGCCTTTTGGGAAATAAGACTTGCTTGACAGCATCCCTGCTCAGACAGTAAAGAATCTATCTGCAATGCAGGAGACCCAGATTCAGTCCCTGGGGCAGGAAGATCCCCTGGGAAAAGGAATGGCTACCCACTCCAGTATTCTTGCCTGGAGAATCCCATGAACAGAAGAGCCTGCCAAGTTATAGTTCATGGGGTTGCAAAGAGTCAGACATGATTGAGTCACTAACAATTTCACTTTTTTTTTCACTTTCAATAATATCCTACTGCAGTCATAAGTAAGATTCCAGTTAAGATTTATTGAACTCAAGATACTTTTTTTAAAATCTGAAATTAGAATGAATACCTTAAAGGTGTTGTCAACCTAATAAGGAAGTTGTAAGAAACCCTTTTAGATGTCTCTGGAATCTTCCAAGGCATCTTTGGAAAACGAGGCTCTCTTAAGGGCTTAAGAGAGGTGATGTACAGAACTTTTCATCCCAAAATTCCCTTGTATGAATCCAATGTAGCTAACCCCTCAAAGAGGTATTTATTGATTAGCTAGTATAACAAGCCCAAGTCTTTGGGGAGTTTTTTGTTTGTTTAGCTGAAGATGTATTTAATAGTTAATGCAGCCTTTCTTTAACTTTCTTTAAATCCCCCCTTTTCTGTTATGTGTTTCCTTATCAGATGCACTTCTGGCCTCAGTTGTGTTACTTTTCTGCCTATTCACTCTTTTTAATCAGTAGAATGGGGATTTTGGAGATGGCTGTCTGATCCATGGCAGAGGCAGTTGACCTGATGCTAATGTCTTATTGTTTGTTTCTGCTGTCTCTTTCCATTTTCTGCTAGAGTAAAGAAAAGATTGAAAAACTAAAACTTCAAGCTGAATCCTTCTGCCATCGTTTGGGGAAATACCGGATGCCCTTTGCTTGGGCTCCCATAAGCTTAGCAAATTTCTTCAGTGTCTCTACCCTGGACAGGGAGGTAACCGATGTGGAGTCCATGGTTGGTAAGCTTTTCAACTGTGTGTGAAGGGCAGGGCTCCCCAGTGTACCAGCCCTGAGGTCAGCTGCTGATTGGTGGGAGAAGGGGTGCAGTAAGGTAGGGGAGTAGATAGGGAGAAGCAAGTGAATAGGGTGAAACACAATTAGAACCGGAATACAAATGCTTGATTGGACAGTGATCTCCAAGACGATTATCATAACTTTGTGGAGTTGAAATATAGTAAGATTTTTGGTTGGAATTTTTTGTACAGTTAGACGCTTTAAAAAGCTAATTTACTTCTTAAAAGCAAATTGTTGAAAATAACAAGAAAATATAATAATATAGTCTATAGTGTGTTAAACAAAGATACTGTAGTTGGCTCCTAAATATAAGAAGAGAAAGGGCTTCTAAAAGCAAAACTCGTTTTTTTTTTTCAGTAAAATTTTAGTTCCTTAAAGTTTGTTTTGCCAAGAGCAATGAAAAAAAGTGGTTGCCAAAATAGTATTTAGTTACTATTCTGATTCATTTAGCATATTTCTCTTTTTCATTACATTTCATTCATCTGAATTATGAGCTTCCTCAACAGTTTGGGTTTGGAACTATTGAAAAGGGTTACAGAGTTCTCAAGCATATCTCCCCTCACCTATGGCAGAGTTCCTTTTTTTAAAAATGTGTTTGTATCTAGCAAATGTTTATGTCTCCACTCACATTTCTTGGGACATTTCTCATGCATCCCCTTAGTGCTGCCACTTCTGAAATGTAGCCTTTAGCAGAGGAGTGGAGGAAAAGGTATTGTATTGCTGCTGTCCTGGAGTTATTGATGCATAATTACCAGTCAAAACTCCTGGGTTATTTCAAAAACAAGCTCCATTTTCATCCATCCTGATCTTCACATGACAATATATATAGGTTTTTTTTTTTTTTTAATGCCACTTTCTATGTAGACCAAGGTAGCCTTATTCAAAAGAGTTCTACATAGAAAAGGACACCTTTCAACTAGATAGTTAAGGCACAGAGCTTGCTGGATCCTCAGTCATTTCCAAGCAAAGGAGAAATTAACCTGACTACAGAGACTGATTCTTAAGAAGCAACCAAAGATGCTGTGTGTTATCTTGAGCAGTGTGGCAAGTTTAGGGGGCTCAGTGGTAGCAGGAAGCTCCAATTCAGCATCACGACAAGAATTAAGGGTAAGAGAATGTTCAAAGACAGGGTTGGACCATTAGAGTTCTAAGCACTTTGACCATTCACAACAGAACCCCTGAGTTTTGGAGTGTAAAAGCAACACGATCTTCACCTAAATCTCCAAAGTGAGTGAAAAATAATCAAGCAGACTGTCAAAGAGTTCAGATTTGGGTGTGACTCCATTCTAATTACCGTTAGGCAGGTCAGCCAAGGCAGAAACTCATTTCTGCTGCCTGGTCCACACAGCAAGAGCAGAAGAAAGCTCAGATCCAGAATATTCTTAGGCTTAAGTAGTGTGTTTGGGTCACAATCCCAAATGCCTTCAGGGGCATTGGAGTACACACCTCTCCCAAAGGAATGTAAATATAAAAATAAAACAGAACTAAACACTGTTGACTAAATAAAGCTTATTATTTAGCCAGACCCTGTTCTGGCTGCAGTTCTGGACTCTAGCTACCCTGATCTCCACCTGGGAGGGCACTGCAGTAGTTCCTGGGCTCTCACTATGATCAGAGGAAGATTGGGGCTGCACAGAGGAGGTGGGGGTAGGGTCTAAGAACCAGGACAAGGAGAGGGAAACCGTTATTCAAAGCAAGAATGGCCATGTTCAGTGTTGTCAATCAGTGAGTGTCAACACACGTTAGATATGGTAAAATTAATAACTGTTCTGTATTCAAACAGGAAGGCAAACTTTTGAATGACAAGTGTTTTCCTTAAAGGGAAAGCCTCTGCGGGTGAGCGAAGAACTTTGTCCCAATCTCGAAGACTTTCTGAAAGAGCCTTCTCCTTGGAGGAAAATGGGGTTGGATCCAACTTCAGGACTTTAACCGTTACCAACTTTTTCAAGCAGGTATCCCTTCATGTTCAATGTGTCTGGAATGGTCTCTCCATAATGGCATGAGGGCAGGAGCCCAAAGCAATAGTACATATAGTGACTAAGAGGACGAGTTAGTCATCCTCACTAATCATCTGTAAGACAGGGCTGACGGCACTTGCTTCTTGTGGCTGTTGGGGGTTGAGAGGAGATGAGACATGTAAAGTGCTTCCCAGAGTGCCTGGGATATAGCAAGTGCCAAACAAAAGTTAGCTGTTTTAATTAAGAGAAAGATTGGTTCCCATTAATACAAACTATCTTATTTGAACTGTCATGGTCAATTCATTTATTAGGCTATGAAAACAGTCTGACTAAAATATCCATTATCCTTTTGGTTCAGGGTTTCTTGGCCCGGAAGTTGTCCATCTCACCCCTTTTCCCAAGTGCGGGCTTTCTCCACATGCCTACTTCCTCACTGAGTATGACCATTATAGATGGTGTTCTTTGTTAGCTCAGAAACTTTTGAGACCACTTAAAGAATGAATAACTTCCTAGTGTCATCAAATTCATAGAGACAGAAAGTGGAATGACAGAAAGCAGAATAAGGGTGACTAGGGGCTACAGGAAGGGGGAAATGGGAAGTTGTTTAATAGGGATAGAGTTTCAGTTTTCCAAACTCCAAGTATTCTGGAGATTGTTTGCACTCAAAAATGGTAAATTTTACTTGATATGTATTTTAGTACCCAAAACACAACTTGACTTATACTTAGTTTGACTCTGTTTTAAAATGTTCCGAAGCGCAAGCAGTTCTCATAGGACATGTCAAGGGGTTATGTAAACAAGGGGTTATGTTAACTGAAATGCAGAAGAAACACTGAGGTTTCTGTATGCCATGCCTCATGATAGAGCTCACAGGGAACTGAAAGGATCGCTATTGGGGGAATATTCACAATTGTGTTGCCTTGGGGGGCAAGGTACTTGACATAACTAAGTCAGAGTTTTCTCATCTGTACTTAGGAATAGGACACACCTACCTACCTACCTTCCTCACTGGGCTGCTGTAAGGATCGGAACTTGGGCACATATATCCCTCGGCGGCATGCCTGTCCCCTGCAGGCACATGGAGGGTAGTGTTTATGCTTAGCTTTCTTAGCCAAAACAAATGTGAAAAATATGAGGCTATTTGATATATGAAGAACATGAGGAAAAAGATAGAAAGATGCTCTCTCCATCTTCAGATCTTTGAAGAAAGATATAAACTAATTCTGTTTTGTTCCAGGGAGTAAACAAGTATCAGTGGGTTGAGTTATATGGGGAGGAGCTTTTGGTCTAGATCCCCAGTGGGTCCTCAGAAATGCAGTCAAAGACTGCAGTCCCCAGGACGACGGAAGAACCAGAGTGAGTTGGGAGCAGTAGAGAAATAATATTTGACAAGAGGATGACTAATGATTTCAGAGTTGCCTCATATCTATGAAAGACATGTTAGAATAAAACTTAAAAATAAAAATTTTCTGAGAAATCCTTGGTCCCAACCCCAGGAGTCTGTGATGCATCTACACTAAGCCTGACTTCTCTCTTGGCAGGAGGGAGATCGCCTCAGTGATGAAGACTTATTCAAGTTTTTAGCTGACTACAAAAGATCTTCATCCCTACAGAGAAGAGTCAAGTCAATTCCAGGTGTGAATGGCTTGTCCTTATCCTCCCTGCTATGCCAAAGCTATTTGGGAGTAGGCGCTTCGTTCATGTAATGCTGCAGTTTTTCTGTCAAGTGAAATATAGGATTTTGCATTAGGAATTAAGGTATAGTTCTGGGGGCAAATCTGTTAATGCTTTCTGTTTTATTAAAGGGATGTTTCCGTAAATAAACATCATGCTTTATATTTGATTGCTCACTCTGAAAATCAGATAATTGTGTGAACAGAGAAGCCTCTTTTATCATATTGTATGGAACCCTTAGCATAAGAAAGCAGTGAAATGCTTTGGTGGAAGGTGAGGCTGCACCCTCCTTATTCTCAGCCTAACAGCCCCGGAGGCACTTCTGCAGCTCCCTGGGGATACCAGGGAACCCACTGTGAAAATCACCAATTTCTAGTGCTTGTGATGAAGAGAAATTACTGAACTATGCACTTATGGTATGGTAGTTCTAGAAGGGACTTTAAAGATCCTCTAATGTTCTTACTTATTTTTACAATTTCTTGCTTTTTTAAGTTCTAGAAGCCAAATCTCAAAAATCGTCATGACATGCTTTTTCTCAAACTATAGGAAATTATCTGAGCATTCCAAAATTCTCATACTTGTACAACTTATCCTCATTTTCATAAAAGAAATATAGTATAGCAGTCTTTCTTGATCCTTTGTATATGACGTCTTTGCTAAGACAGGCCTGTTTTCTTCCCAAATTTAGGCTTGCTCAGACTGGAGATAGCTTTGGCTCCAGAGACCATCAATTGCTGTCTGACTCCTGAAATGCTGCCAGTGAGGCCCTTTCCTGAAAACCGGGGACGCCCACACAAAGAGATACTGGAATTTCCAATCCGAGAAGTATATGTCCCTCATACTGTGTACAGGTAAGAAATAAAGTCTTTTGGAAATCCATTGAACTAAAATTTTGAGTCTTGTTTGGTAACACTTTCATCTTTCTTTGACCTATTTTCCTACTTGCTAAGTTTTGGGGAAATGAAATAAGATGCTTACAAAATTATAGATAATGGCTGGATCACTTTCTAAAGATGATTTATCTCAGTTTCTTTTTTTTCCCACAAGAAAAGTTACTTAAGTCATAATTGAAATATAGAATTATAGTGGACATATTCCTTCTAGAAACAAACAAAAAAATCCTCCTAAGTCATTACCTTGGTTTTCCTATGGGCAGGACAGATTGGGGAAAGAGCAATGACTAAAAGAGTTCAAGTTGTCTGAAAGACAGGTTTTTAGCTCAAGATCTGCTCTGTCAATAGAATTTAGAGGAATGATAGACATGTTCTATATGTGTGCTGATAGACATGTTCAATATGGTAGCCACTAGCCACATGTGGTTCTTCAGCATTTGACATGTACCTACTGCAATGTAGGAACTAAAATTATCATTTATTTAACTTTAATTAATTTGAATTCAAATTCAAGTAGCTACATGTGGCTAGTGGCTACCATATTGGATATCATGGAGCTAAGACAGTAAAGGTCCAAAAGGTTAGGTTGCTTCAGTTTCTCGGAGGTCCTTCATATGGGGTCTCAGAGGGAGCTTGTCAGCATCCATCTGCCAAAAGTATTGCTGCTCATGTACTTTTATTTTGAGAAGATTTTTTTAATGAAGAGAAGAATATTACATTAAGCACATTTTCTCCACTAGAAATGACATTTTGGAGTTTTGTGTGTTTTCTGTGTTTTTGTTTTGTCATTCTTTTAAACTACTATATAGTGTTCCTTTCTGTAAAGTGGCCATATTTTTATCTATTTCCTATTTTTGTATTGATTTTTTTGTCAGTGTTGGGCTCTTAAAACACTGTGCAGTGAGAATTTTTGTCTTTGTGTCTCTGTGCACGTATATGAAAACTTCCCTAAGCAATGTGCCTAGAAGTGAAATTATTGGATCACAGTAGTATATAGCTTCAGTTTTATTTACACCATCGCTTGTTTCCAAAGTTCTGTCAGTTAGCAGTCATGCCCGCAGTGTAAAAGAGTTCTGATTCCCAAGTCTCCCTCCTAGATAAATAAACATTCCTGGGATGCAGTAGTTTTCTGTTCTCCATTCCCTAGAGGGAGATGAGGACATGAAAATGTTTGCTATGGATGCTGTGTGTATCTTTTTAGAAACCTATCCTATAACTGGAAAACAGAATGCTCCTGGCATTGGAATAAACTTGCACCAAATGAATTGTATAGTTGTTCAGCTTCCCCTCAGCATTTAATCACCCATGGGAGACATTTACAACTCTCTGTACTCCTTGCTGCAAACATTATCCTTAATTACATCACAGCAGGACTCAGAATGCATTAGTGCACCTGCTGATTCAGAAATGTAGGAGTGCCGAGGAGGACAAGTCTGAGCGGATTACTATGGACCCAACTTGGCATCATGAGAAACAGACCCACGGGTGCAAAGTGAATATTCTTTAGCTGTTCTGTGCACTGTGGAAATGCCAAAGCCACCCCATTAAAAACCAGGTCTCTGTTCAGGAGTTATAGAACACAATACTTCTCTTTAGCTTTGGTCTTCTTTTAGCTCCCACACCACCATCTTTTATATCTTGTTTAAGGAAGGAGCATTTATGGTAAACTTGGCTCAGAATCTTACTATGTGAAAATGTTAAAGAACTGAGAGAGTATCTTGTCTGAATTTCTCATGCCGTTGTTAAATTTTTATTGTTTCTTCTCTAGTCTATATATGCTTTGTAGTGGTTTTGATTAGGTTGGTCTTGACAGTAACCCCATCCTAGAATAATTCTTCCCTTTCTTCCATCACCACTCCCATTTCGCAAAACAGAAATGAGAGACTCAAGTCAGATCTGAACCCCAAGTGAAACGGAAGCTGACACAGTTTACCCTTGGTGACCTCATCTTCTCATTTTTGCTGAAACTGTAACCTCATGACTTTTCTGTCCCCTCCGCTTTAAATCAAAGTCTCCTTTCAAACAAAGGTCTCTAAACCTCTTTACGTTATGATATCAATAGCAGGTATGGTCTAAAGTCTTAGCTCTCCCAAGACTATTATTTCAGTTGTTTGTGGTGGTCAATAAGTTGCTAAGTCGTGTCTGACTCTGTGACCCCATGGACTGCAGCACATCAGGCTTCCCTGTCTTTTGCTATCTCCCTGAGTTTGCTCAAATTCATGTCCATTGTGTTGGTGATGCTGTCTAACCATCTCTGCCACCCTCTTCTACTTTTGCCTTCAATCTTCTCCAGCATCAGCGTCTTTTCCAGTGAGTCAGCTCTTTGCATCAGGTGGCCAAAGTAATGGAACTTCAGCTTCAGCATCAGTCCATTCAGTGAATACTCAGGGTTGATTTCCTTTAGGATTGACTGGTTGGATCTCCTTTCAGTCCAAGGGACTCTCAAGAGTCTTCTCCAACACCACAATTCAAAAACATCAATTCTTTGACACTTGGCCTTCTTTATAGTCCAGCTCTCACATCCATACATGACTACTGGAAAAACCATAGCTTTGACTATACGGACCTTTGTCAGCAAAGTGATGTCTCTGCTTTTAAATATGCTGTCTAGGTTTGTCATAGCTTTTCTTCCAAAGGAGCAAGCGTTATTTAATCTCATGGCTGCAGTCACCATCCACTGTAATTTTGGAGCCCATGAAAATAAAATCGGTCACTGCTTCCACTTTTTTCTCTTCTATTTGCCATGAAGTGATGAGACCGGATGCCATGATCTCAGTTTTTTGAATGTTGAGTTTTAAGCCAGTTTTTTTCTCTCTCCTCTTTCACCTCATCAAGAGGCTCTTTAGTTCCTCTTCGCTTTCTGCTGTTAGGATGGTGTCATCTGCATATATGAGGTTCTTGATATTCCTCCTGGCAATCTTGATTCTAGCTTGTGATTTATCCACCTGGCATTTCACATGAAGTACTCTACATATAAGTTAAATAAGCAAGGTGACAGTATACAGCCTTGTCATACTCCTTTCCTGATTTTGAACCAGTCAGTTGTTCCAGGTAAGGTTCCATGTAAGGTTCTAACTGTTGCTTCCTGACCTGCATACAGGTTTCTTAGGAGGCAGGTAAAGTGGTCTTGTATTCTTGTCTCTTTAAGAATTTTCCAAAATTATTTCACTAGGGATGGCAATTTCTGTTTTTCTGGATCTCATCTAAGAGTATGGTAGGTAGGGTAGCTTTTCCTGTTGATCTTGCTGTTTCCATGTCTGTAATTCTAGTCGTTTTTTGTATCCCTTTAAGGAAATCAAATAAATGAAAGTTAAATTTTACCAAGCAGATCAATTTGGGAATAATTCTTTGTTTGATAGTGGATTCACATCATAAATTTGAAATATGGCATCACATAAAAATTTGATCTACCAGACACTGGTGGAGAATATATGTATTGGACCAAGCAAGGAATGCCTACAGTGACAAAGCCAGGATTCAGCTTTCCAATTTGTGTACCTTTTGCATGAACTTCAGAGCTCCCTTGAGTGGGGGGAGCTATTACATGGACGCATGGCAGGTGTCTGGCCTGAAGTGTGAGTTGTGGCTAGAGTGATATTTTACAGGATTCTCAGCTGGTTAGGGTTTCTGCTTAATACCATATGAATAGAACTCAGGTTCTTTACTCTCTTAAAGGAGTAGCTGCCATGGAGCCTGAAATAAAATTGGTCTGGGATAGACTGAGCTGCCTTCCTGCCCTCGGCCTCCCTGTCCTCCGACCTCTTTAAGTGCCTCGTTTAACAGCCCTGCCCCTCCAGGTACCCTCAATCAGGGTCGCAGTGTTGCCCACTATGGGCACCACCACTCATGCTGTATTCTCTGTGGCTGCTGCCCTGCTGCCCCTCCCTAATGCAGATTGCTTTGAGAAATAATCTATTGATAGACCAGTTATAGAAGAACTGGGCCAGGCTGTGGAAGCATCCCCATGAACCAAGGAAGGTCGATCACGCATACAACAAACACTTGCTCTGAGGAAGAGATGAACTTCTAGAGCCAAAAGTACCCACTCCAGGAATGGCCAACATCTCCTAGACCAGGGGCTGTGACTTCTGCAATGCCGTGGGCAGCCTCTGTGGGTCAGACAAACCTGTCCCAAAGCAGACCCTCACCAGAGCTTTTTCAAAAATCACAAAAAGGACAGTCATTCTGAAAGCAGAGCAGAACAGCTGGAAAAATTAGGTTGATAAACAGGATTATCCAACTCTGAGTTTGGCATTCTTTTCTCCATGCCCAGATTAAGAAAATACTAGTTGTTAGGCCAAGAACACGTCTGAACCGACTCCTGGCTTATTTTCCATGTGGCCCAGCAGCTGGTAACGGGAGATGCCAGCTGCCTGCTGATGGAGGCAGGTTTTCATCCTGCCTCCTGCGGCCTGAGGCCAAGGCCCCGCGAGGGCTTTAAGGGAGTTTTATCCTCTGGCTGTTACGGGAGTTTGTGGGGAGATCACAGGCGCTGAGGTTGTAATGAGCTTGTTAAGTTCCTTGCCGTCCCTGTAACTGGTGATTACATTAGAGAAATCCACATAAAGTGTGTTTTCATCTCTCATCCCAGCCCCCAAGAGCCTCTGAGGTCTTTTTATCCAATTATCAGACTCACTGTGGAGGACTGTGCTTGCTGAGAACAAGCATATCAGTTAGAACATGATTTCTTTGATGGATAATTAGCTGTTTTCAGGCCGCCTCCTTTTTAGCTGAATATTCTCGGACGAGAAGTCTGTCTTCTCAAAGCTCGCCTGCTCTCTGGTCTAATAGGGAGGTGCCTCCCGAATCACAGTGGCATTCTGAGGAACACTGCCAGGCTTGCATCCTACGGGGCAAAATAGAATGGTGTAGGCTCAATGTACAAGCTGGTCTTGAATGATGAACTTGAGTTAAAATTTAGTGAATAGCGTTTCTAAGGAAAGGAATAAACGAGAAGT